CAATTTTTCAGACTTCCTGCCCGAATTTCAGGTACAAAACAGTATTATTTGAGCCCCCATTTCTGCCACATCTATCACCTTCATGTCGGAATGAGCATTTTCTGGAGTCAGTATCCTTGCGACTGTAGCAGAGCCTCAAATACAACTTTTTCGCAATATGAGAATGTGATGAGGTGAAGCATAATAAAAATCCAAAGGGGTCAATTTTAAAGTGATCTTGACTGCATTTGTCTTTAGGAAATTCGAGTAGTTCAAACGTTAAAATTTCCATTACAAATCGAATTGAATAGCAAATGCTATTCGAAAAATATTCGAAATTTCGAATATCTACCCACCCCTGTACATTATCAGTGAAAACAATCTGAACAGGCACCTTTACCACAAATGAGTTATCTTCAGGGAGGGTTAGGCTGCAGCAGATTTTAACAAACCAGCCATTTTTGTTTCAATTATTATTTAGTTACACTTACCAGCTGCATCACTACAAGCTCCGTAAAATTATGGGGCATTCAGTGATGAAGCAAACTTGAAAGAATGTGTTCTTTGAAATGAGTGGAAAGCAAGTGGTTCACTCTAGTGAACATATTAGCATCGGCGTCAAATCACTCCAGGCAACAACTGAGGTTTGGATGACAAGCTGCTACAGCTGAACAGGCAAAATAGTTTCACTTATCCCGTATAACCACAGTGCACTATATCTGCATACTTTTTTAGTTCAAGCTTGATATTTGGCGATTTGCCGGATATTAGGTTCAATAAAATTTGCTTTTTTAAGTTACTAAAAATAGGTGTTTTCTGCTTCCACATTATTCAGACATTCTTCTGCCATTTCTTGTGCAAAGAAAAAGAAGCTTTCAACAACTATGTTTTGCATAAACGGTCGCATTTAATTATATCAAGTTCAATAAAACGAAGTTTCATTGTTTACTGACTCTGTTATATCAAGGTTTAATCAACTTTTCAGAAAGACTGCCCACTCTAATAATAATAACAACATCTGAGATATTATGCCCCCAAACCACGAGATGATTATGAGAGGCCGCAATGGAAGGCTACAAAAAATTGTACAAGTTGGCGTTGTTTATTGTGCACCGAGATCGCACAGTACCAGGGCCCTTACCATTTCGCCTCCATCAAAATGCGACCGTCGCAGTGGGGATCAAACCCGCGACCTTCAGGTCAGCAGACGAGTACCGTAGCCACCGTTTCACCTAGGTTATGGTGGCTAGAAGGGGAAGTGTGATGAACAGGCAGAAAAAATTGGCCGCCATTCGCGTGAGTGCCATGGAGTGGCACTGCAGTCAGGGGCACCGTGAGCGATCGCGGCTGTTCTGTGCGCTCGGCCGGGACAACGCTTCACTGCAGTGGAAACGTGTTACCGAATTATATACAACTTTAACTGATAATGCAGTTCTTTACATACCTGCCAAGTTCAAGGATTCTGAATCCGGGAAATTTCCGCAATGAAGGGGGGGGGGGAGCATTAGAAAACACAACAAACAAACAAACAAAAAACATCACGAAAAACAAAAAGGGGTGGGAGGGGGGTCTCAATCGCAAGTGCCAACATCAGCCTTGCAGTCTTATAGTGGCTAAAAGTGGCCGAACACATGAGGGTAGAGTTTTTCACTAAGGTGAGAGTCTCAAAGGATCAATACAACTAGCAGAATCTATTTCAGTCAAAACAACTAGCGTGTGTCTTCCTGGGACACATGTGAACGGACGGGACAGCGCAGCTGGCTGCCGCAAAAGCGCGGGTCAAACCTTTGCTTACTTCTAGATTATTTTGACAGGAACGCCAAAACGTGTCTGGCCCCTTTTTATTGCGACAGCAATTATATGTACAGTCCAGGCTGTCTTTTTTTGCCATCGCCACCGCCGCCGTCCTTCACCGTATATGTATACGTATCTATATATAAACACTCAAAGAAAAAAAGCCACCCGCGCTCGGCGCCGAGCTTGTCGCAATGCACCGACGCGAGCTTATCTCTCACGTGTACTTTGCCCCATGGATAGATGCCTGTGCGCACACGCTTATCCTTTGATGGGGGAATCGTGTGCCTTAGGCTTTCACTGAAACGAATGCGTTAGTTGCCAGGCCCACAAAGGTAACTTCGGTCTCTGCCCAGGCCCTTTTGCAAAAACAGCGTGCTTTTCATATACAGCGACGTATAACTGGGACATTTGTCAATTTGTACTCATCCGTACATATGATTACGTATCGTGCATCGTTTTTGTTTAAACAGCGCATTACGTGTCGAGCAATAAACGCTGTTAGTTCGCTCTCATCCTGCGAATCGTTTTTGTACGTCATTTGTATGTGAGCAGCGCGCTGCACATTTAGATCTGCTTGCCGTTCTCAGCGTTACATTCCAAGTTGCTGCTGTCGCATTTATTGCTTTGCCCTTGCGGCGAAACTGTAACTTTTTTTATTTTTTACGTATTTACTGCCTTTAACTTACTGCTGCGTGCCCTCGGAGCTCATAGATAGCTATCGTGTCGCCACGACCATGGTTTTTTTGCGCGGCGGTTGGCGCAAACAGTGGTTCATTTTACAATCCTCATGCGCTTGGCTGCGCACGCGCCTTCAAAACTAAGTCGTTTTATGCCATCTGCAATAGCATCTGTTGCAGGTTTGTCCGCAGAGTTTGTGAAAAGCAGCATTGCTTTGACTGGTTGAGCGCACACTTTCGGGGTTCTCTTATGTCGTTGCCATACATGATCGTGTCAAGAGCGACCGCGTTTTTGTCTTCAGCGGTTGCGGCAACGACAATCACACGCACTGTAGTGCGTCGGTCGCACGCATACTTCCGAAGCTTCGAGTACGCTGCTCTCGGCCTTCGTTCGACCGTTTCCGTACTAAAGTTTGTATCACCTGCCGTGATTAGGAAATGTGTTCGGAACATTCGAATGGAGGCCCAATGAGGATAGTAAAATTTGGCTGAGGAATTTAAGAATCCGTATCTACCGCGGTTTCGCATCACTGAGATTATACTGTACGTTTACATGAACGCCTCTTGAACTCATTTATAATAAAATCGAGTAGGTTCGAAAAGCCTGGAGTGGATTTAGCTGCTTTTTTGTCAATGCGGCCAGATCAGGCAAAGAAGTTTTGATTTCCGGGAGATTTTCATGACAACCGTACAACCGTAGAAAACGGTCAAAATCCGAGAGTCTCCCGGCCAATCCGGGAGACTTGGCAGGTATGTCTTTAGCATCGCAAAGCTTATATAGCGCTACTGTTACCGCGGGATTTTCAAATACAAGGTACAGAGTCAAGTTATCTTTCAACAGAAAGCAAATAGCTAGGCCTTTTGGGAATGCCACATTGATGCACTACTAGGGCGAAAGTGCAGTTTAATTACGCAGCAGCGTGCTTTGCTCATTTCATTCGTAGGCCTCCATACGCATGAAAGGAGATAACTTGGTTCACACCAGTCAAATCAGTATTAAACCATAGCATACGTGGTAATCCAATGTTTGGCAGTTATTTCATGCTCAATTCAGTAACCAAATAAATAAATGCACCATATTACGAGGTAAACGAACTTCATTGCGTACAACAAAATGCACTTGACTATATCCACAGCTTTTTTCACATTACGCAAGGCTTTACTGCATTTTTTTATCGATCATCTCCTAATTCAGACCTTCAAAAGAAAGTGGGTTCTGGTCAGACAGAAAAACCTCAAGACAGAAAAGCTCAAGCACATGCAAGTGTCGAAATTATAGGACCTGTACCAATCCGTGAACTACCTTTACGGTGAAGTATATACAAGTATATAAATATATAAAAGTACCTGATGATAACGATTAATTGAGCAGGTGTCGGGTGATCATTTACGCCAGTTGCCTGCCGCACCATCTGTGAGCTTGAAAGCGATAGCGTTAAGGGGGGACGCGGCTTTGGGATCGCGAAAAATGGCAAAAAAATCGATTTTTTGAAACTCAAGTTTTCAGTTTCTGGAACCCTTTTTCTATCTGGTTCCAAAATATCTACACCGAAAACCGCGCAGAAGTGCTTCGGAAAATTCGTTTCACCCACCTAGGTAGCAAAACTTTTTCTGGAAATGGCGAGAAAACGGCGATTTTCAAAAAATTATAGCTTCGCGATGCTTGGGCCGGGAGCCGGCTTCTTGGGCTCATCGGAAAGAGCATTTCTCCGTTTTTAACTTTCCCGCCTCAGCTGGCTCCTCCCTTTAACAACAAGCGAGCAAAAAGCAAATATTTGAAGGTCGTTTTGAGGCCCTTGATTGGCCGTGGCCGCCATGTTGCCTCAGCTCGCCTCGCCATTGGCCCAATGCTCGCTCCGGGAGATCGTCGTCTGCTGCTTGTGCGTCGCGAGGACATGGCTCTCGAAAATCGCCACTTCGTGACGTGTTCACGGCTTGATAATCACTTAAGATATAACTACGCTTTAGTTACGAGCAGTAAGCGGATGCGCTTACTGCTCGTAACTAAACTTATGCAGCAGTGGTGCAGCAAGTCATATATACATCCATTCATTTCTCTGACCTGATGCCTTCCTTCATGACCATTAAAAGGAGTGCATCTAGAAGTATACATATAAAAAATAAACAGTGCTCTTCAGCTGCATATATGCACACGTCTCTCTCGAATTCCTTGCCTCAATGCACTGCAAGTTCACAATACACCTTAACAGCTTAACCCAAATTTTGCATTGTGAATATCATAATGTGTCAGCGCATTTTTGTCTCTGCTTCCCTCCAAGGCCCCTCCCTCATTTCCTGCTCTTTGCTCTCATGGTGACAGCAGGCAGAAATTGGTTTTAAGTAAAACTAGCATCATCCTCGCCCACTTCACTTCACATCCTCGTCCCCACTGTGTGGCCATATCGTTGCCACAATGCTTTTCACTAGTAGGTACATTAAAATGAAACGAAAAAAGAAGCAGAAAAACAATTTCCAGCAAAGGCAGTGTTATAAACGTTATAAAAATATTTGTTAACACCAAATAAAACACAAGGCATAGCAAGGTACCTTTGGTAAGGTCTATCACTTGTTTGTTATCTTCTAGTTCATCTTCTTCTGTAAACACCTGGACAAAGAATACAACAAAAACATGAATACATATATTCTGCTCCAAAAGCAACATGCATATAATGAAATTACTAATGAAAAGCTTATGCTTTGAGGTTCAGCAAAATTTTAAAAGCTAAAAACAATATGAGCCCACATATACAGATTTCATCCAAGAGAATATATGGCCAGATTAAAACATTTGAATGAATGTCAAAAAAATTTTCGATCATGACTTACTCATTACAAATATAACTGTTTTACATATGTGTTTCTACAATGCTCTGAATTTAAAGAAAAATGTCAACTCAATATCACACTAGTCATGCAATACTTCACACATAATGACAGATAAAAAAAACAATACTTCTCCCGAATACATGGAGATAAAGAATATTTGTAAAGACTGTAAAGAATCAAGCTTAAGACATTGTGTTGTTTACCTCTTCATATCCTTCGTGTGTTCCTGAAGTCAGGTTTCTTAGGACCTTGAGCTCTGACGGAACCATTGAAACATCGCATGAAAGTAAGGAGTTTATGTTAGGAGGAGGCAAAAAGCACCTGGAAAAAATAAAAGTGGTATTCAGTAGGCAGACTGCAGATAAAAAATGATAAAAAAAGAGATGATGATGATAATGGAATGGTCATATTTTCTGGCACAAGGATCAAATGTGAACAAAGAGCACAATGCCAGTGTGTTCCAATGAGTTGCTCATGACAGTTATATTGCAATATCGCACTGTGGCTTGGAGAAGGACTAGACGAAAGAGATGGACAACTGACATGAATATGCATCAAATCTGTGAGCTATTCTAATAAGTGACGAGAGGTTTTGTCAGGAGTGGCAGATTCCCTAGGCGCATTTAATTTGGTGGAGCTTGTTAGATCTGGCCCATTCCCCAAATGCTACTAATATTTCACCAACTGTCTGCATAGGAATGGTCTTGGATTTGTGAGGGAGACAGTTATAAAAGAGTTTGTAGCTTTTATTCCAGATGAGGCAAGTTTTTCAGCAAGCATATTACCGTTGATTCTTCTATGAACAGGAATTCAGCATATGATAACATGTTTTAACACACATAAAAAAAGGTTGCACTGAATACAGAAGTGTGCAATAAGGCAGCCTGCTTATGTTTCGGGATTTTCGCCATACGAATTGGCCAAGTCTGTGACAAGACACTTAAAGGGACACTAAAGCCAAATAACAATTTATGTGAAAGCTTAATGTATGACAACAAAACTACAATAATATCAACAGCAGTACCCTACTTACCGAGAAATTAAGGTAAATGCACAAGAACACATGTGCCGCGGTAGGACATTCTCAAAATGATCCTGTTGACATCAGGCGGACCACCTACAATTAATCACTAGTAATCGATCTAGCTGCACTAAATAAAGAACCTTCTGTGCATCAAGAGATATGATAAAATGCTGCTTTTTCGTTTCTACTTGATTCATGGAAAAAAGAACCACTGGACGTTACTATGGGGAATGGCCCGAGTGATTCAAAAATTAAATTTTGGCGTAGTTACACTGGACATCTGGTGCCATCTAGCGGGGTGCAGTTGAATAAAAAAATGTCTGAAATTTCGAAGCCAATGATGGGTTATTGATCAATGGTTGTTGTTGCTGCTGTGGCTCTCGCTGCTTTCAGTCTGCTGCTACTAGCGCAGTAAAGCCGGGCAATGTTGTGCACGGCGACAGTGACGTGAGTCAGTCTGGTATCCGCTTCTTGAGGCGGCTAATTTGAAGTGCTCTAGTTCAATGTGGACCACTAAAACGTGATTTTATTTCAAAATAGGCCCTTCCTTGGCACAAAAGTAACACTGCGAGGCTTCTGGACTGCTATTTCAACAATTAACGGCGACTTAATAGTTGCCTTTAGTGTCACTTTAAATTCATTCATGCTCGCCGACACCACTGGCACATCACATAACGTGAGAAATCTAAGAAAGTGGCCGTTTTGCTGACAGTCAATATTTTTCACCAAAAAAATCTAAATACACCTTTGTAGGAATATTTGACCAGTATAAAATTATATATGGTTTCTCTTTTGTACCCTTAACAATTTAGCTGGAGCTCCTCTGCAGTTTTACATGAGTCACTACCATACAGAGAGATGTTGACTGAAAGGACACTAAAAAGCAAAAAAAAAATTTCGCATATGAGTGGAGTACAATTTCCCAATCCTGAAAACACCACTTTTACTGCAACACGAAACTTACTAAGCGAGAAAACGCTCGAAAAGAAAACGCAGGCAGACGCTACCTTGAAATTCCAACACCAAACACCATGATGTATATTTTTAAGATGTGTACTGAATCTTGCGTAGCTTCCAATCATTGAAAATGAAGTGCGTTGTAATCTGCGGGTGTCATAGACTTAGCATACAAAGTTACAGAAAACTTCATCAATCCAATGCCATTAAAATATCGAATTTCAGAATTTCTTACGTCACTCAAGGAGATTTTGGCGCGAATTTCAAAAGTGAACCTTCAACCTTGATTTTCTCCACTAATAATAAACTTACGATAGTGAAAAATGTGGCATTAGAGTTCTCAGAGTGCAGTTTGTCAATCTAAATGAAGCTGTCATTCTCCTTTATTGTCCCTTTAACCTATTGGCACCTCTTTAGAGCTGGACAGAGCAGCCCCTCCTCGGAATACACAAGTAGAACAAACCTACATTATGGGCTACCTACAAACAATATTTGCTTTATGAAAAATAACCATCATTACATTTCTCTTAGGCAGCTGCACAGATGTGGTAAAATCTCAGGAAAAATGCAAAACAGCCTTATCTCAATGGTTTCTGGTTCTTTACAAGAAAGGGCAGAAACAAAAAAATTCAGAAGCCCTACCTCTATCGGACAAATTTGGGGTGTGGGGCAAGCTTGGTGTACGTACAACTGACTTACTATTTTTCTTTGTTTATTCCAATCATGAGCTCCTTCCCTTCATGGCAGAGTCTGAACGGCTATGAATAGTTGAAGGCAAGACGCGAGGAAGCTCCTACGCAGTTCACAGTGCGCCTAGCGATAATGTGTGCTAGAGTAGGGTAGTGTGCTAACTGAAGCTTATGCAATGCCCCATTTTACACCCCACCTACGAGTTGATCCCACTACCATATACAATGCAAGCGACTGCGCAGCTGCTGTAAGTGTGAACACCAATTTTCCCTTGCTTCAAACAAAAACTGTTCATAGCCATTTTCATTCAGTCTCCTTTTTTTTCTTTACATGAGCATAATAGCACTTTGACTATTGTTCTGCTACATTAGGTAGCGATAACCATTAGCGCAATCAGTGGGAGAAGAGTGCAAGACATGCTAAGTGCCAGTTTTGTATTGCCATAATAAGCTTTTGCTTCAGAAAAAAATGCACATCTCTACATTGCACTACCTTTATAGAGCAAACAGATTGGTATCTCCATGACCACTAAATTAGTAACATGCAACAGGGTGGCATGATAACGGCTCACAATGCTCCATGAATAAGCTGACATTTGTACAGAATAGCAGCTTGAGTGAGGTCCAACTAGCTATCAATTCTATGTTCTCTGCGGGTGCTTTTATGCCAATTTGACCCTTATGCCGATTTGTGAAATACAACAGCCAGGGATTTCGATTCCAGTGATCATGACTTTTTCCCTCGCATCATGTGCATAACCTGCTATATACAAAAGCTTTCTTTTCCCAGTAATTTCACTTTGCAAATGTAACAAATGTTAAGCACTTGAAAATAATGACAATAAAGAATAGTACAACACCGGCGGTCATACCCATGCTGTGTCCTTCTTCATCCTCAAGTTTTTTTTTCCTAACCCTCAGCATTTGTTACAATACTTCATAAGCAAGGCTGAACACTGGTCTACCCTTGGAGGCAAAAAGTAGAATTTCATGTAGAGATTGAAAACTTCATGCCATAACTAGTAGCACTGCGCTTAACACCGGCACTACGTTCACTTTGCCTTGATGTAGCAAGGGCAGCCTGCAAAAGGTCAGACAAATAAGCTGTCACACAGGCACTGGGTTCAACGCGGAGCCTTTTCCTAGATGCAGAAGCCTGAGCCAGCTGTCAGAGGACAAAAACATATTGGAGATTCATTCACACAATGAGACATGTGTCGGCTATAATAAAAGTCCAGGAACTACTCAACACCTCACAATGCATACCATTTTATTCACTCATGAAGACCTATGAAGTGTCCAACATTTAGAGGCTCTGGGTTTCAAGTTGGAGGCAACTAATGACTGGTTAACTGTTAACATAAGCAGGCTATGTTATAACATATTATTGGTGAAAAAAAAAAAACAAGCAAGGACTTCATAGTGCCAGAATTGTTGTAGGCATAAATGACAGTGGATTAAAAAAATAAAGGCTTGTTTCAGAATATAATTAAATAAAAATGAAAAAAATGTAATATAGACAATGCTGAAATTCAAGGGGTGAAACATCATTCGATTGTACCTAAAAAAAAAAAAAAGAAGGCTCCGTGGCAACCCTGATTGCCCCTCATTTTGAAATGGATGCAAATAAACATTTCCATCATCACGGACGCCAAGGCCTTTCAGGCTTCAACTCCATTTATTGATATTACAGTAATACAGTGCACTCAGTATGATGCCTGCTGAAACCGGCAAGGAAATGAAAAACTCTGCCACAGCTCGGCTGTTCAATGACAGGGAGACTTTATATGCACAGGGAGACTGACGAAAATTACTCAAGCATTCGCAGATGACGGGGCTTGCGGGAAACCTAGCATGGTCTTCTAACGAAATGGTTCAAAAGTTTCTAAAGGTGCTAAACTGTTCTATGACACAAGAGGTGCCTTCATTTGAGCAAGCACATGGGCAGGTCCTCAAATGGGCAAAGCCAGTACGGTATACTCTCGGTAAACGGCAATCCGTTAAAAGTAACTGCTGCTTAAATGGAACGAGTGCTTCTGGCAAGATTGGTTTTGATCTTGCATTCTGCACCCCTGGTCATCTCCCAGTAAATAAAACTGCTGTGAAATAGAACACATTTTTCTGGTCCCTTCAAGTTCTCTTCAAGTTCTCTTTAAGTTCTCTACTGCAGTTTGAAGGTGCTGTCCTGCCTGCATAAAATACCAAATGAATCATTTGATTTATTTTGTTTATTTGTTTAATAACAGCACAAGTGACATCATATTCAGAGCATGAGAGTAAGCAGAACTGCTCACATTTTCTAACTGAAAGTGTGCAAGTGACTACACTGAGGTTAACAATGAATATAAGGAAAATAAAATATGGGTAGTTTGCAGAACTTTAGCAAGAATAAAGCAGCAGTAAACCCAAATTCTTTTTGCAACTATCCAGAGTTTTTGAGAGAAATGTGCACATCACTGTGTATTCTACTTTAGAAAATGTTGTAAAGTGCTCACCTTTGCGAATTATGTAAGCAATGTGTGTTAGAGCCTTCCCAAATATCATCCAAGATTTCGTTAGCATGATCCTCAGCATCAGGTATCACTGGTGGAATGCCAAATGGAAACTGCATTTACCAAGAAACAGTCTTTCTTATATACAGTATAACAGATTTTCAGCAACTGCAATTCATTCTTTTTTATGGAGGCTTAATTTTATTACAATAATAGACTGTTCAATAAAATGTGAATAAACATTTGAATAAACACTTTTCAGGCAAAGTGTTGTATGAAACATGTCGTCTTATGCACCTTCAAGTGCTGCAGTACCACACCACAGTCAATGTAGTACTACTACTAAATAGGATGTTTTATGCATGCAGTCATTATAGAGGAGCCTGCCAATGACCCTTAATGAAGCAATTTTCTGAAAGTGGGGAGTTGGGCAGGTTGTTGCATTATTTTGGTGCACTACAGCACAGAAAACACACATCGGACAGAACACAAATGACAATCGGTGCTTGTCGTCGTCATTTGTGTTCCGTCCTTTGATTTTTTCTGCACTGTAGTGCACCAGAATCAATTTCCGTCACAGTTATCACATCTCGTTTCACCCAGCTGCCAGACCAGAATGTTATTTTAACATTTTTTTTAACTTAAATTGTGGTGTTTTATACAGAAAAACAACTACCGTAAATTCCCAAACCAGCACACCTATCTGAGCGACCACCCCCTTCCCTTTTGCGAGAGACTTGAAACAAGTACCAAATGATCAAGAAAGTGCACCTCATTATTGTTTTTTTTTTCTAAAAAATTTGGAATTTTCTACTGGTTTAGTAGCCTGAAAACTTCTAAGAAAAAGCAATTTATGTCAAAAAAGGTCCCATAAGAAAATATTTAGCAACTTACTGGCGAATCAAAGAGATTAGAACACTGTTCAGGTTCGATATCAACATCGGTTCCACCCCACAGCTCCTTGAAGTGCAAATGTTGTGGGAGACTTTCCATGATGTAGCAATCTTTTATCCTGAAACTGTAGCAATGGTATATGAGCATGTTAATCACAATGCCAGATATGTACATAGCAGTGGCATACCTTGCTTTTTGATTAAGCCACAAAGCCAAAGCTAGAACATCTCTTTAAGTTTACACCTAGGCTAGCATAACTTTGACATTCTCTTTTCATCTCAAAATTCGTGGCAATGTTTTTTCCAGGAATTCGTTCTTTACTTTTCAATAACACACTAGCGTTGAAACTCAACATGTAGCAATTATCACTATTTTTTTTTATCCCCCAATTGGCAAATGACTGCAATCTCAGACCATGGGCATCAGCAGGATTTTATCTCGGAAAGAGGGGGGGTGCAAACTTCTGTTGCATTATAGCTGAGGGAGGGAGCAGTGCTGGTGTACCTTGGGTGGCGGGCATGTGCTGGTGAGGCCTGACGGGGGCAAGTGCCCCTTTGCACCCTCCTGCCGACGCCCATGCCTCAGACTTACCTTTTCAAAACATAGTCCTGAAATAAGTGGTAATGAGAACTGTGAAACATAACTGAAGTGCTATTTTCCACCATTCTATCATGCCCAAACCCTATAAGCTCTAGTAAAAAAACTGTCAAGTGTCAAGGTGTCCTAAATTATTCACAACAGTAGTCTAGTAATGTACAAATAAATAAAATAAACAAGTATTAATTCTACATGCAGTACTTAAGCCACCTTAGTTCACAGACAAGCTGAAAAAGTATGATAATTGAAATTGAAGGGCTTTATGGATGTTCCCCAGTTAGACAACCAGTGCTTCACCATATGAAAAATGGTGAAAAAAAAAGTGATCACAGCAACTAAAAAAAAAAGGCACTCTGCACTATAAGTACATGCCTGCTCTTACATTTGTTAATGGTGTTACGATACCAGATTTGTGGCTTGCATGTTCTTTGTTCGAAACAGTCCTTATTGCTCCAGGTAGCCTGACACAAACTCGGAGATTCATGTATTCTTTTTGAAATATTTTAATATCTCATTATTTAAGTGAGTAATTTTCGGTTTCAGTTTCTGAACACAGAGCCAGACAATGACATCACAGTCTAGCAAGCTTGGTCACATGGGCTCACAAACCTATGACACACATACTAAAGCATCGTCTGCTCCAGCACACATGTGAAAACAATCGTTCAAATGTCTTCAGCCATTGAGCCCGCTGAATATCATTTTCGCAGGCTTGCTTGACAGTGCGAAACATTTTACAAAATGCCAGTAGGCTTGGATAATTCAACAATACACTGAGAAAAGCGAATGTGGATTTGCAGCCAATGCTCTGTAGGCTTGCCCAGTGTAGCGGTATTGTGGGGTCACCACTCATTGCATATCACTCTAATGACATACGACACCATTAAACGTTTTGTTATGGTTGCAACAGTGGTGTCAGTGTCAGCCGCACTAGCTATGGGTCTCAATCGCCAGAATGAGTATTTAGGCACTTCTTGGAAATTATTAAAAATATATGTTAGAGGCACCCGGCAACACTTCTTGAGCATGGTTAGAAAATGCTGCTGATTGGTAGTCAAGGTTCCCGAGAACATGAGAGCCAAACATTACAGTGTGCCGTGCCAATTGGAATTTGCAATTAATTCTCAAAGTCATCTATAAATTGCTGCCTCTTCTCTCTGCAAATGATGCCATACACCCAAATTTCTGCCCCATATACCCATGTCTACAGTAGTTGACCGATTTGAGCATCGTCAGATGCATAATTACTAGCGCTACTGTGGGGTGCCGCCACATGCTCGAGCTCATGATCGCACTGCAATTTAGCCATGCATTCTAGGAAAAACAAGAAAAGAAAGTGCTCAGGTCATGATGTACACTGAAGAAAAGACACATCATCTTGCTGCCTTGTCATATCTCTCCCTGCATAGCTCTCAGTGCGCTGGCTGGATGAAAAAAAGAAGAGAAAGCACTTGAAGCATGTGCGAAGTCTCTGTAACTCCTCTCACACTCGCTGGATTCTGAAAATTTTTTCGGCATGTGATTCTGAAACATCATATGCCAATAGTGAGACTATTCCATGATAACTCAGAACAGTGTTCAGGGCCTGTTTAAGTGTTTGCTGTGTCACTTCGTGCTGTGTGACATTACACACAGAGGAAGCCTGCAGTAAGCTTTTTAAAGCTTCAAAATCTGGTCTCAACCCCTTTAAGCCATGGACGGGCTTTTGTACACCATAGGCACCACAATGATTGATATTCATGTCACCAACATGCATATTTAACTTTTTATGCAGTCTTAATGAGAGAAGTGTACCTGGAGCAAGAAACATGTTCTATCTTGAGGTTTAAGGCAAAGAAATAATGAAGACACAGAACATGTCTTCTGCCATCTATCATCCTGCATCATTTCTTTGTATAAACAACATGATATGCAGTTCCAACCAGGCCACCAATTCCTTTTCTTGAACCTAATTTAGGTTAGATTTTTTTATTCCTAACATTCTTTAATAAGAACTGTAAATTATTTCTTTAAAACAACATTCAAGAGATACTTTGTTGTTTTTACATGAATGATATAAAGAATGGTTGAATCAATTCTTACCTACTAAAGAATGCATGAAAGCACACCAGGAAAGCAAGGACTCTAGAAAGGAGGAGCACAAAATAATAGATCTGGCCCCAATGGTAAAAATTTGCTGTCAAGTTGGCTGAAAACTATGAAATGTAAGTCAGTGCAACTGAAGAGCAAACTTAAAAAAAGAAGGTTGTAACAGTATACACCAAAGTTTACATCACAAACATTAGGCTTTCAAATTAAGCATTAACAAACAAATATTAAATGTATTTATAGAGCTGGTGTTTAAGCCACATTCTATAGCTTTTGAGTTACAAATGGCACTACTCTGTCAACATTATCTTGGGCTGTTATTCTTGCAATTTTGTTACTGTAGCCCCTAAATGACTTATGAAAACAGCTGCACAGATGCACTTATTGTTGCATGACCTTGTTAACTTGATTTCCCGACATATGAAACTAAGAAATCATTCATATAAAAGCCCAACATGACAGCACCCATGAATATAAAATAGAATATTCTATAAAAACTAAATAGAGCTTTTAAATTGACAGGTGTCACAAAATAATGATCTTTAAACTTTCATTAGTTTACTGCACAGTCCATCCTTGAAACAAATTATAAAATAATAGCCATTCTCCCCCCCTGCCCTCCCCCCCCCCTCAATACAAAAAGAGAGTTGCCATTCTAACTGCACCTTTATTATTATTTTTTATAGTAAGAAAAAAAAAACAGTTCAGCAAGCTGACAAGATGACTACATTGCACTGGGACAGCTACATTTTTGTATCACAACTGAACTTAAGCAGAACTTCAACAAATTACTGGCATGTCATTTGTTGACCATGTCAGTTATTCACTACACAGATAATACATTTTATTTCATGAGCACAAGTGAGAAAATTATATGTTTATTTAACTCAACATACGGCCTAGTTATAAAATACCACTGCATAATGAAGGAACAAGCCATAAATATACCTATGCTCTAATGACTGGTCATAAGCTGGCAAAGTACTAAAATGAATGCAAAAAATAACTTAGACATTACAAGAAACGATAATTTCTTTTTACCTATGCTTTTTTTACACTCAACAAAACCAGTCTCTGAGCTCATTCAAGGTGTCACAACAAATTACGACTACCATTCACGGTAGAAAGGTTTACGAACATCTCTGTACACCAAATCATTCACATCAAAGCCGAGACACATAAGCATGGCATGTGACAAACCCCCACAGGTCTAATCCAAACACACAGAAGTTGGTTTGAAGTTTAGCTCATGTGTCTTACGCTCAGGTCCCAACTTGTTTAAAGGCAGTACTGAAAACTGACATACTGATATTAAGGACTAGGAGAGAGCAGAAAGTTTGTTGTGGCACGTAATCGTACCTGCAAATTAAATTTATTTTGAAAAACAGTCAAAGTAAATCAACCACGACATGTCCGTAATTGCAACGTTAGTTTGTCTCACGGTTATCGCTATTAATGGCGCACTTGCTGACCCACTTCACTGAAAGCTGCAGTGTTCGACAAGGCCGCGAAAGTGCGTCGTATAATGCATTTAAAGTTTACGGCATATTCACTAAAGCCGCCACCATGACCATCAGCTGTTTTTCTCTAGAGGACTGCACGTGGCTAGGACACGTGCTGTCCACGACTAGGGCAGATTGATGTAACAAAAACAAAAAATCTCGGCACAATACAGAACATTTCGCGACAAAATTATTCACAACGTGGCACGAGCTAGCATTATGCACAGCTGCGTGTGCAGTTTTATGCTGTCGCAGGCGGTCCTCGTTCGGGCTGCCAGCCACACCTCGCTAAACCTAAACCCCACGAGATACTGCCGTTAAAACGTTCACCAAAGCACACAATCACCACACCATTATAAACAATGTCAACGCTCAGCACTAAGCTCATCTTGATTAAAGGGATGGTTGCTCATCATCGTGACGTTTTACATCACTGTAGCACAGATTCGGTTTCGTGAGTCTTTTTGCACCTTGAATGGAGACACAGAAATGTACACGTTTCCGCGCATCAGCTGGATCGTTTCGTAGCCATGAAAGTACGATCGAGACGGAAGTAAGCCTCTCCAAACAAAGACATATATGACTGTCACGCCAAGTGTGCGGTTTGGAAAAACGCAAGCGACGAACATACCACAGCTGATCACCGATGTCAAGTGCACATGCTTCAAGAAACGACGGTCAGTCAATGTATTTATGATTCCGTGTATGTAGTACTTAAAAACTAGAATGCGGAGTGAAATCAGCGCTCTTTTTCACCACTGAAAGAATTTAATTGCATTGTGTTCTACAGTGCTAGTACAACGTTTCATACAGAAACACCTAGAGAGGAATTTGGCGCTGTCATCATAGAACACCTACACACTACCAGTTAGAGAAGGGAAACTGTACCTTTGAACATGCAACAAAAACAAGGGTAGCGGTGGCGTTATGAACTAACCCGACCCCACGACCTCTCTATAGATTGGCGACCTGCTCATACCGGTTCTCTCTACGGCTGCGCTTGACTCCAACTTTAAAGGGTCACTTGCTTGTCTAGTTACAAAAGTGTCACGAGAGGCCGCCTCAACTTAACCCCATAGCAGCCGACGCGACAACTTGAAAAGTGCGTAGCTCCGTCGGAATGGTTCCCGCGTTTCGAGTGTTCCGCGGCAGGTATTTTTTTTTTCTTTTACCGTCGGAACGGTTTCTAATGTGCCGCGGCAGTTATATTTTTTTCTTCCTTTAGTAACTTGCGTGATAATCTTGGAATTTTCTGTTTGACTAGTGCGCAGAGACGAGGCCGAGAACGTGAAGTAGGCGCACTGACGGCATGCCTCGGCTCATTGCAGTGGTCCCAACAATTACTCAACGCGGCTGCTGTGTGTATGCTCTGTGAAAAACTTTCTGTGCCACTATGTGGTGAACATTCACGCGTCTTTTATCGCGACACCAATGGTAATAAAGTCGGCAATGTAATGGGAATGTCAATGGGAGCCCTGCCGTGCGTGACTAGCGATTGTCACAAGGTGCCGCCATTTAAATAAAAACATTGATGGCACTTGGTTCTTCAGACATGACATTTCAACGTCTTCATGGTCGAGGAGTCTGTCATTTCTCACTGAAGTAGAAACCTGTGAGGACTATTGTAGCTGTGCAATTTATTCCGCCCATTTAAACGAAGAGAAGTGCCGAAATTGCGATGCTCGCATTTTCGTTTCTTGTAGCACATTGAATCATCCGAGTCTCAGTTTCAGAGTTGGAAGCTTTTTAGCGCACGTATTACTACGAGATCACGAATTACATGGAGTACGATTAGCTCTAGGCTTTTTATAAAGCAGCGTAAGCTACGTATAATCACGACCATACTTTACACACCATGTTTATGCATTACGTGGACCAGGTTGCTGAACTTACCATACATTTAGCCTGCTACAAGCAGCGGCACTTAATCATTTGTCCTATTGAAACCAGTCCACTTATGTTACTTACAAAGGCAAAATTCAAATGCATTCTCTGTAACTGCAATTGACCCGAATCTTTGTGAAAATATATTTTGCTGCACTTCCCTTAGTAGAGCCTCTTAACTGCTGTGCCCCTGATTAACCCACTAATTAAATGCTTAAGCCCAATATTTTAGAAAGTCTTCTATGTTATACTAAAGAAAATTCTCATGCAGCAGGAACAAACTTCATGCAGTGTGAAATTCTAGTACATTTTATTTGTTTGCCAGGCTCAAACCTTGAGCACCTTTCGTGACTGTGGCTTGGCGTGCAGCAACTACCTTTTCGCATGAGTCTCGGTTACGTTGCTGGAAAAATTTGCCAGAAAGGGTCGCAGAAACTTCACGAGAATGAGCCTAACAAGTGCAGTTGTATGGGCTACACTGTCATTCATTTCACATTTGAACAGGGGGTTCTTAATGAGAGATGGAAGCACGGCACACGTGAACTTCTGCAGTGGCAGTGGTCGTTTGATCAGCAAAGGTGCCGCTTGTGAGCCAGCATATTCAAGCAGGCTAACAAAACCAACAAATGCTATGCTCGGGTACGACAGTCCACTCCTATCAATGCCTGCAATTATGGCAGTTGTCGCCGAGTGTGACTTCGGCGATTTAAGCTTCATGATGCATACTACGTACGCAGTCTTCGTCCGTTTGCGAGAGATGGGGGTAAGTTGTAGCGCCACGTTTTGTCGTGGCAGATTAGAAAACTAAAAAATAATAAACAAGCAAAAACAAACCTTGCGCGCAGGAGCGTCACAGAACGGGCAAGTCGCTAATCAAGAGAAGAGGTCGTGTCCGACCCACGACCTGCTTTATAAACTTCCGACCTGCTCATGACGTCGCTTCCCCTGTCGTCAATTTTGCTTTTGTTTGTTTAGTTTTTTTTTTTTTTTTGGTTCTCAAAACGGCCACAGCACGCCGCGGCGCTACCACTAACCTTCATCTAAAATCCCTCTATCTACGAAAAGTAGCGAAAGGTCTTGATCCAGCCGCCTCGCCGCGCGATTGGCCGGTTGGCGACACGTGACCCTTTCTCCTTCGCGCCCCGCCCTAAGGGTCCAGCAGTCGTTCGCTGTGCATGCGGATCGCGTGGTTGTTTGCGTTGCCGAGCGTGGAATTGGACGTTTCGGTAAGTAAAAAACATTTCTTGCGCCTCTGATGCATTGTTTTTGCAACGTAGAAGTGCTTATGCTGTGATCTACTCTAGTCAACATGACTATTTGCTCTTTCTGCGGGCTTCTGTAACAGTCATTTTGACAGTCTTTCAAATAAAAAGTGTGTTCTGCATTCCTGCAATAAAAGTATATTTTCAAATACACGTTCCTTTATTATCTGGCATGTGCACACAAACCACCTCACTCAACTTTTATGGCTATGGTTTCAAATCCTACAGGTGCAGATACATCACAAATTTATTTGTAAATGCAGTGGATAATATTGTAAACATAACCTCATATCTGCGGGGCTTACAAATGTTATGTACATGGGGAGTGGAGGTGGTGCGGATAGTAGAAAGGGGAGAGCTTAGAATAAATGTAATTAAAAAAAAGAAATTAAATGCGGCGCTTCGTAGACACTAGTAAGCATTCTCTATTTCCCCGATCTTAGAAGGTAATCTGGTCAGGGGCGTAGCAGAAATAAATTTTTCTAGGGGGGGGGGGGGGGACCTCCTCGATCTGAAGTGGGGGCCAGGCAGGCACATGTGACTGACTGTCATTTTGTGCTCTGTATGCTATCGAAAAAAAATGGAGGGGGGGGAATGGGCCCGCTGTGCCACCCCCTGGCTACGCCACTGAATCTGGTTACTGATAATTGTCAGATGCAGCGAAATCCTTTATCCGAAATAAAGCTCTGAGAGTATTGTGTATACAAATAATTCGGTTAGCGTTAAAAGACTGCAGGAATACTGCCGAGCACTGAAAAACGTGATAAGAGCGCACGTAACTCGCTGCGCACCACTAGAAGCAATCAGTGCGCAATGATGTTTCCGAAAGTTTCGGTAAGTTCAAGACCCCCGATATTTTTGAACTATAAAACAAGCACTTTCAGTTGACCCAAATATCGTCGCTACTTCAATGTAAGCTGAATTTCAGATTGTGCAAACGACCGTAAATAAGCGCCGTATGACTACCGCTGTGAAACACCGTTCAATAGAATGAGATGCTTCGAAAGTACGAACGATTTATTGCAAAGCTTCACGCGCCCCGGGATCGTTAGTCGTTGTCCCTACTGCTTGAAGTTTCCTGGACAGCTAACGCCACAAAGGGCCATAATTAACTGGTTCAAACGCGCACTGAGAGCGGTTTCAGCCGTCCGCAAAATGCACGCGAGCGAGCGGAGCGTCGTCTGCTAGCACTGCTCCTTGGACCCCTCCAGAGGGCGCGCGCATAGTTGTCGCTACCTTTATATAATATATATAGGGACCTTACCCCCATTATGTGGTGCAATGGCTCCATTTTCACAACGAGAGTGGGAAACGGCTGAGAAGAGGGTTCCTAGTAGTACATCAACAGGCCCAGATGGCATTCCAATTATGCTGATAAAAACACGGGGCCCGAAGTCTAAACAGACTTTGAGAGAGGCAGTGAGCAAAATAATAATCGATGGAGAAGTCCACGATGGATGGAAACTTAGCAGGATGAGCGTGATCTACAAAGGAAAGGGTGACAAAGCTGACATAAACAACTACCGTCCTATAACCGTGACATCAGTGGTCTACAGGCTGGTGATGCAGATTATAAAGGAAAGACTGCGCAGAGTGGGTTTCGGAAACACAGGAGGTTGGAAGACAATCTGTTCTCACTGACGCAGTGCATCGAAATAGCAGAAAAGGAACACGGGCCCCTGTGGCTAGCATTTTTGGATATCAAGGTAGCGTACGATAGCGTGGTTCAAGAGGAATTGTGGGTAATACTGGACACACTAGGCGTGGAATATGTAGTCACTATTCTTTTACAGGATATCTATAAAGGTAACAAGGTATAAAATGGGAAAAACAGGTATCCAAACCTGCAGAGGTAAACCGGGGGCTTAGGCATGGGTGTCCCCTGTCACCCTTATTATTCATGATGTACCTATAACGGTAGAGGCCAAATTAGAAGGACGTGGACTGCGCTTCAACCTCTCTTTAGTCAAACAAGGAAAACTCATTGATCAAGCACTACCAGCATTAATGTACGCAGATGATATAGTGCTAATGGCGAACAACAAGGAAGATTTGCAGAGATTGATGGACATCTTTGGTAATGAGGAATACAGGTTAGATTTTAGATTCAGTAAGGAAAAATCAGCAGTCATTATTTTCAATGATAACGAAGGTAGTGAGCTTAGAATACAGGAGGTAACGTTAGAGATAACAGATAAATACAAATATCTGGGCGTATTTATCCATAATGGTACCGAGTACCTAAGGGAACACGAAATACACAAGACGACTAAATGTAACAGGAATGCAGCAGTGATGAAAAATAGGGCACTGTGGAATTACAATAGGTATGATGTTTTAAGAGGAATATGGAAAGGGGTCATGGTTCCTGGGCTGACGTTCGGCAATGCGGTCTTGTGCATGAGATCAGAAGTTCATGCAAGATTAGAAATTAAGCAACGTGGAATAAGTAGGCTTGCTTTAGGAGCTCATGGGAATACACCAAATCAGGGAGTAAAATTTGATATGGGATGGACATCATTTGAGGGCAGGAAAGCTAGCAGCAAGATAAAATTTGAGAAGCGATTGAGAGAAATAAGGGAGAAGCGTTGGTCTAGGAAGGTTTTCAGCTACTTGTACATGAAGAATGTCGATACAAAATGGAGAAAGCGAACCAGGAAATCGACTGGTAAATACTTAGAAAACAGCAGGTGGCCAAACCAAAAAGAACTATCGGTTAAGAAGAAAGTGAAGGAAACGGAGACTGACATGTGGAG